TGATTTATTGCCATTATGTACGAAAGGTGTAGATTTTGAAAACACATCATATGACAGTAAATGTAATGCTGCATCAAGTATATTGTTAGAATCAGTTTTGAAAAACAGATCCCACAAAGTAGGCGTATTGATATGTGCAGCAAATAGCATTAGGAAATTGAAGTTGAATAGTTTTAGTGATTTTGGTGAACAATGTCACACAAAGAATTGTGAGCCTTATTTTTATGAATCAGCATATTTGTATCCTAATGATAACTCTGATAGCCAATTAGATAGTCCAATTGCAATCCCTGTTGATGCAAATGGCATCTGTTATGTAGCAGGGATTATTGATGTATCATGCATTGAAAGAGTAGAAGAATGTAATGATGATAGTGATTTTGAAGATGACAATTTTGATAATAATAGATTGTATACCAATAAGAGAAAGCCAACCCTCAAATGGCAATCCACATATAGGTGCAAGCCATTATTAGAAAGTGACATTAGTTCTATTATTGAAGTTAGACGTTATTTGCATGAACCCATTAAAGAATTGAGGAAGCATTTAGATGCATGTGACAATTGTCCTAATAATCACTATGTAACAAGATCCCAGCAAGTCGAAGAAATGGATCAAGTGCATGAACATGATTTCTGTGATAATCTTAATGTAACAGTAATTGTTAAAAAGGATGAAAATGGCTTGAAAAATATTTTAAATATTCAGAAATTGTTAGTGAAAAGATAGGCCATCCTATTGTGCGTAGTAGTGATGATACCGATTCTAAAAGTATGCTGCGTATTTTACGCAATGCATCTGTTCATTATCCTTTGTTGAGACGCCTTTTAAAACACTTATGTTGCTGGAAATGCCCATTTGACAAAATATATTATTGATTCTTCTCTTGCTGATGGTATATAGCACAATTGATAGATTTAAAAATTAATGAAGCCGATGAAACTGAATTTGATAATGTGTATTACGCTATAAATGATGGTGAAGAAGAAGACCAATTTAGAATACCAAACTTAGATACTGTACTTTATTTTCAGTATTCAGATGCTATTGATAAATTTAAGATAGCTTTGTCTGATGAGGCAGTTAATGCATGTTGTAGCTGTGAGAGGCTTTTAAGAAAAAAGTCTTGTCACTGAAGCTAAAAATTTAGATAGTGATGTTTGGAATATCCTATTAGATTACATTAGACAGAATTATCCTACGGCATTAAATAAAGCTATATATATTTGTAATCCTTGTAAACCTACTATTAAGAAAAATGAAGTTCCAGCACGTTGTGTGCTCAATGGGTTAAAGTGTGAGCCACTACCTAAAGAATTGAAAGATTTGGATCCTTTAAGTTGCCAGTGAATACAGAGGGCCAAGTGTTTTCAGACAATTGTTAGGCTAGGGACACACGCCTTAAAAGTGCCTGCCTATAATTCTTTGAAGGCACTTAAAGGTGCAATGTTTTACTTACCCTTTCCATTAGAAAAAACCATGAAAACTTTAAATGAGGTTGGTATACATTCTTATCATTTGCCTAATACAGAACATTATATTATTATTAATGGACAGCCTACTAAATCAAATAATGTCTGGAATAGTTTAGTTGATGTTGATGTAAATAAAATTAAAGCAGCATTAAGAAAATTAAAAGAAATAAATTGGCTTTATAGAAACATACGATGATTCAACTGACGAATCATTTAAAAATGTTATACAAGTAGTAAGCAATACTACTTGTAAAATGCTTGAAAAGCAAATGATCTAAATTTAGAAGGCCTGTCAGCATATGCAATTAGAAATCTTGACAGTAAAAT